CTCAGCGAGAAAGAGGAGGACGAGTGGGGGCCTCGAGGCAGGCGCTGGCCTTGGGCCCACTCCCGGTTCGATGATCCTCAGCGCCGCCACTCGTCTGCGGCAAAGGCTGCATCCTCGACCGAGGTTGCTCTGACATTCTCGGCAAGAGCGTCGGGCTCTCCGAAGGAGGACATGGCATTGCTGGCAAGGCCATCTGGATCTCCGACGGCGGCTGCGAAACCATTCCACTGGAGGCTGTGACATCCTTCGAGGAACATTGGCGAAGGAGGCTGCGAAATCACTCTCAATGCCATCTGCGCGAATGTACCCAGTGAGCGCGTTCCCGAAGGCTGTGCAGCAGTCGCGATGCCCAGCGCTCCCGCGCATCTCAGAGGGCCCGCAGGGGGGGGGGAGCAGGGCGTCTGTTGTCGCCGGGGAACGTCGGCTCTCCCTGCTCCCTCCCCGCTCGGTTTCGTCCAGCACCGCCTGGAGGATCCGCTCCGCTTTGCTGCGGGGGGCGATCCCTGGGCGCAGCTCGCCTCCCAGCTGGGCGACGCACTCCTGGAGCGTTTGCTGCATCTCGGCGTCGGCCAGCGAAACCAACATCTTCGCGAGCCCCTGCTTGCGCGCGCTGAAGGCCAGAAAGCCCTTGACTAGCATGGTCAAGTTGCTGACATCCTGAATCCCGTCGAGCTTCTGCCGGTGAGCACCCCTGTTCTTTGCGTTGCGAGCGCCCGCGCTGTCGCCCGCCATGCTGACTCTCATTGCCGCCCACGCGCTGGGCCCGTTTTGATGTCGGGAAGCTCCTTGGAGTTGTCTTTGCGGTGCTCCTCCCGGGGCGTCGCGGCCTGCTCGGTGTTGACCTTCCCGCTGAGAAGGCTGCTTGGGCCATCGGCAACTCCTCGGGCAAGGACATCGCCACGAACGCCGCGGCCATCCACATTCAGATGTTGAAAGAGTTGCCCAGCGCCGCCCGCGTCAGGATCGGCATGGCCTTTGTCGTGGTGTCCGCATCCATGTGGGGGAACTTCTCGATTGCATCTGGAGGCAAGCCGTGCGAGCGCCCTGCGTCTGGCTGCTGGGGCGCTGGGCTGCGAGCCTCGGCCGCGGCTGCGGGGCGGCGCTCTGCTGCCGGCGGGGGCTCCTGGTTGCGCCCGCCCACGCGGCGCCCGCCGCCGCGCTGGTGGGAAGCGTGGGCTGAGCCAGAGCGGCCCCGCCGCGCTCCGCCTGTGGCAACCTTGGACCTCGGGCGGCCCGCTGCTGCCGCGACCGCCTCCTCGGACAGGCGGGACATCGTCGGACCCGCTGCGGGTGGGCGGGGGGCGTGGGGCGCGCCCGCGGAGGTGTCGAGAGAGCGCAGCTCGATCCCGAAACGGCTCTGCACAGGAGCAATACATTTCAAGATGGCCGTTGCCCATAATGGAGCGTTGCGATGCCAAGGCCAGCGGACATATCAAATTCTCGGGCTTCTCGATCGGGTGTCGGAACGGCGTCGCATGTGGGTGGGTGGCGGTGGTGGTGGTGGTGGTGGGGGTGGGTGGGGTGGGTGGGGGGGGGGGCCCCCCCCACTTACCTGTCATCACTGCGGTGACAGTCTGTTCTTGCGCGATCCGACGCGCGCGAATCCCCAATCCACAGAATATGCATTCATTCGGGGCGATGCTGGCGTGAACGATCGATCTGCACGCATGCCCCCCGTTCTTGGAGAACCTCTGGTGGGCCAGGAGCGCCTTCCGAATATCTCCCCGCGGACGAGCCCCTCGTGGCTGGGTAATTAGTTCGCATCCCTGGGCGGCCTCAGGGGGGGGAGGAACCGCAGGAGCTTCATCAGGAACTGCCTGCCCAGGCTCGTATAAGCCTGCTGGATGGGGGGATCGCCGCCGTCCGGGCAGCTGCTCGAAGTGCGCCAGGGTCTAGGGATGCATGCTGAACCCGCCGATCTGGATCCATGAAGAGCGCCCTGGTGTTTAGCCCCAGGTGGGGGGTCTCGGAGTTCCCAGAGGAGTCTGCTTTTGAGAGGTGCGGATTCCGGTCGTGCAACCAAAGCCCGGACGTCCTCCGCATACCTCTTCGCGCATCGGTTGGCGTCAGCCATGAGATATCCTTCCTCGCCGACCGTGGGGCCTGCATCAAGTGGCACGTGATCAATGAGAAGCAATGTCTTCAGGAAGCGCCGAAGGACAAATGATCCATCGCCCATGCTGTCCGAGCCGTCGCGCGCGGAGTCTGGCGCGAGACGGAGTGACTCCCGATCTGCGCCGAACAACCTCATCCGTCAACGAGCGGTAGCGTAGCAAAGGGCGGCCTCGTTCAGGGTTTCCCTCTTCGTCCTTAGCAGCTGTTTTGACAGGCCTCGCCTCCGAGCAGCTTGCGCGCGAAGCCCGCCAAGACACAGCCCAGGCGTTGCCCCTGAGCCTCCGAAAGAATCAGGGCCCCCAGGCCCAAGAGGAGAGCTCCCTGGACCACCGCCCCAATAACCACCCTCGTAAGCCTCCGCGCCTTGTTCCTGGACCAGAAACGCTTAATTTAATGGCACCCCCTGCCTGTTGCCGAGATGCGCCTCTGGGTCTCGCCCTGCACTTTCCCAGTGGTCGCAGTCTGGGCCCCCGGCGCAATGTTACCAAACTGAACCCGGCCTGGAAGACGGGTCTTACCACTGAGGACGGCAGCGTTGTGGGTGTGAGCACCTGGGCCAACGAATGAGGGAGAAACATTACTTTTACTTTCATTGTGCACGTATCCGTCCGCGGCGAGGTCCGAGCGCAGGCGGCTGTGCGCCCTCTCGAGCGTGCGCTGGGCACGCGTTGGCCCCGGGACTACGTGAGTCTTGCTCGTGTCTTCGGCGTAGATGCGGCGTGGCAGGTCCGCCGTCCGTTGTGAGATCTGAGCCCGGGCCGCGCGCAAATTTTCGCTAGGCATCATCGCCTTGTCAATGTTGGCGGGGGGGCCCTGCGGTGCCAGCGGCGCGTCGGGCCGCTCCTCGCATGTCGAAGCACAAGGTGGAGAAGGGGCCCTGCCAGTCATCATCTCGGAGCGCATCCAGCCACTGTTGAACAGGTCGGCGGAAGGATCTGGCGAAACAGACCGCCGCGGGCGTGTCGCCGATGAAGGCCCCGCGCAGGTTGTGGAGCGTCTGCTCCCCGTCCGCCGCCGCCGCCGTGAAAGTGCTGCTCTCGCGTCGCTGATGGGAGTTGCTCTGCGAGTCCGTCTGGGTCGAGGTCTCGACCGCGGTGCGCAGCGAGGCGAACGTCGCGCAGCCGAAGTCATTCGCCACGTCTTCCTTGGCAGTCGCTGTGGATGCGCCAGCCTTGCGCGCGCGGCCTGGCAGCGCCTCCTGTCAGAGGAGCGCCCCCCTCGCGGCTGCGGCCTGTCAGGTAGCCGCGCTCGCGATCAGGCACCTCGCCGGCGGGCCCGCGGCGCAGCTGCGCCTTGAACCAGAGCGCCCCCATCCTGCGCAGGCCGTGGATGTATCGCCTCGCCGAGAAGCCAACCTTCCTGGCCGTGCTCGTCTACGCCCGTTGCACGCGAGCGATGCCGCGCAACGGGGGCGCGCCGCGCGCGCCTGATGCGCGCGGAGACTTTCTGCAAGGCCTTGAAGCTCAGCTCCTTCGAGATCCGCGGCGGCGCCATGTCTGCGCCGAGGCCTCGGCGATCGCCAGCTAGCCGATGGCGCGGGGCGACGTCGACCCCGGGGCGGCGCGGCGCCTTGGCTGCAGCGGGTCCGTCGTCGTCGTCAGCAGCATCTTCCTGCCGGCGAGATTCCCCCATAGCTGCCGCCGAAGTGCCGATTCGGATCTGGCGCCATCATCAAGATTTCCGACGGCACCGAGTGGGGAGGGGCCGCCTTGCGACGAGGAGCACGTGCCACTAGCTCCAGGACCTCCTCCATGTCGGCTCTTCCCTGCTTCGCGTGCTGGTAGTTGTCGCTGCCCGTGGGCGCAGGGGGCAGGAGGTCCTCCAAGAGCTGCTGCTGGTAGGGGTCGAAGGGCGCATGGGGCCGCGGAGAAGCTCCCCGCTGCGCCGGGCTGACTGAAGCGCTCCTGGACCTTGGCAGCCCGCAGCATGGAAAGGTCCGCGCGGCGTTTTTAGCGACGGCGCCGTGGGCCGCCGCACTTGCCCGCCAAGATGTGGGCCAGCCTCCGGACCTCCGCGTGTATCTGGGCTTTCCGCTTCCACGCCTGGCCGATCTCGTCGACGAGCTGCGCGGCTCGCAGGTGCCGGGCTCGACGCGGGCGTCGGGCGAGACCGAGGCGAGCGCGCGTGGAACCGCGGCCCTGTTCGCGCTGCTCCCGACGGAGCCGAAGCAGGCAACTCCTCTCCTGAGCGAGCTCCACCGCCTTGGGCCTTCGCGGCCGCGTGATCGAAATGGCGAGCGGCAGTGGGGTAGGCGAGCTCGATGCAGCGGGCCCAGGTCTCATCCGGCGCCCTGGCGTGCAGCGGCATCGCCCGCCTCCTGACACTGCGCCTCCAGATCCATCATGAACTCCCGCGCCCCCTCGTCGCGCCTCAGAGCCGCTACCGAGCGGTCGAAGTCCCAGCGCGCCGGAGCGTCACCAGCCGCATGGAACTCGATCTGGTAGTCCAACTTGAGAAGGGGGGGGGCGTGATCCTGGAGTCCTGTCTGCACGTTCAGCGTCAGCCCGAGGTTTTTGCGGCGCAAAGCCGCGCGCGTGGTGGCATGTGGCATCTGCCATGCGAACGCCCCAATGTAATCGATGCAGCTCGCCGAACAGTGACCGAATAATGCGCCCCCGATGTCGTGGAATGTCGTCGCCGTGCATGCCGCGCGACGTTCGGAGCGCCGAGCGCCCGAGCACCTGGTCGGCGGCGTACCTCTGAGGACCTCGTGCGAAGCCACCCAGCGCAGGGGCGTCCACGCGGACAGTCTGACCGCCGACGAGCCCAGTCCCGAACGAGTCATTCAGATCGAAGCCCATCAGCAGCGCGCGGCGGCGATGGGGCCCGCGTCAGCGCCTGTTCCAGCCGCTGGCGCATCGCGTCGACGGTGTGACGATGCACGGCGTGCGGCGCGCGGTCCACGGCATAGGTCTCGTTGCCAGTGCGCCTCGCCGAGGGACGCGGTGGGTAGTACAGCACAGGTATGACAACATCGAGTCTGCCCGACCACAATCTGAAGTCCGCCACCCTACCCTGCAGACCCGCAGGGACTGAAGGCACATCATGCACGTCTTTGCGTTGGAACATACGTTTCCTCAGGAGGAGGGGCACGCCGCAGGCTCGGTTGGTGTAGAACCCTGGCAAGTAGCCACATATGATCACGAAGTTAAATCGTAGATATGAAAACACTGGGCGTGCGGTCACTGGTCGCACACTCCCCCGTACCTGTAGACACCACGATATCCGTACACCGAAATTCCTCACTGATGTCCTGGTATCTCTCCATATCCCCATGCTGTCAATTCCAGGACACAACGGTGAACATATCTGCCAGTCGCACCAGAAGAAGCAAGAAATACATGCATAGGTAAGATGTAAGAGTAGGTGCGGGTATGTCCCTGGGGGGAAGAGATGTGGGCGACGGCCGCTGCTGACGAGCACCGACGCCAGCCCCTGCTGCAGGAATCTCCTGAACCCGCGGCGGGCTGGAGGAGGAGGAGGAGGAGGAGGAGGAGGAGGAGGAGGAGGAGGAGGAGGAGGGGGAGGAGGAGGAGGACTGGTGGAGGAGCAGGAGGAAGGGGGCTGGAGGAGGAGGAGGAGGAGGAGGAAGAGGAGGAGGAGGACGAGGAGGATGCGGAGGTGGAGGAAGATGAGGCCCAGCGATGCCACGGGCGCAGGCGCGGAGAGTCGCCGAGGAGCGGGCGACGGTGACCGCGCGGAGGCGAGCGTCCGCGCCGAGCAGGCCCTGGCGGGGCTTGGCCATTCTCCCCCACTCTCTGCCCCCTCTCCCTCCCTCTCTCTCTCTCTCGTTTTTTTTTTTTTTTTTTTTTTTCCTCTCTCTCTCTCTCTTTCCCTCTGTTTCCTTCCATCATTCCCTCCCTCCTCCCCTGCCCTCCCCTCCCCTCCTCTCCTCCTCCCCTCCGTCCCCTCCTCCCCTCCTCCCCTCCCTTCCGGCCCTCCCTCCCATCCTTCCTCCCTCTCCTTCCTCTCCTCTCCTCCGCCTCCCCTCCTCTCCTCCTCTCCTCCTCTCCTTCCATCCCTCCCATCCTGTCCCTCCCCTCCTTCCCTCCTCCCATCCTCTCCCCCTCCCCCCCTCCTTCTCTCCTCCTTCCTTCCTCCCCCCTCTCCCCCCCCGGCCTCCCGTTCTCTCCTCGCCTCTCCTCCCAGTCTCCCCTTTTCCCGTGCCGACGGTCTGCACGGCCCCAGAGTTAAGTATTCGGGAAGGACGCACGGGGCGGCCTGGAAGGAGACAAGGAGTCTCCGATGAGAACCTCCCCTGGGCTCACTGGGATTTTGCCACCGGGGCGACACAGGCTAGTAGTTTGCTGGGCTCCCCCAGGCCCGAAGCAAGGGTTCCTCGCTTTGTGCACGGATAGTGCGACACGCTCCACCCTATTATCTTTCTTGTGTTCTGGGGCTTGCAGCTGGCCGAACAGCCGCGCCCGCGGGCTGGGGTCAAGGGCCCCGTGGTGGCCCTGATCCTCGCGCGCTGCTCCAGGGGGGGGGGCATTTTTTTGGACCCTTGGAGGCTGGGGGCCGTGGGCGATTGGTGGAGTTTAGATGCAGCTTCATCTGCTTTCTTGCTCCGCGGGGCTCGTTTTGCTGCCTGGCGCCTCTCGGATCGTGCGGGTTTTTTTTCGAGGATCGGCCTGGGCCACGCATGGCGAGGGGGCATCTTGTGGAGGCGCTCAGTGAGCTCCTGCACTCTAGGGTCGCTGCGGAACAGGGGGGGCGAGCTTGGCGGCATTGCGGGTCCCAGGGGGCACGTGGGGCAGCGATCTTTAAGAGGTATCATCGTAGAGTCGCACTGGTGCCGGCATCGTCTGTACCAGTACGACCAGATCGGTGTTTGTTGCGCGGCAGCGCTGGCACCCTGTTTCACGGGAGGTTGGACTGCCCTGCGAGAGAGGCTTGGCTTGGCGCAGGGGCAATCATCCCCCTGAGACCAAAGCAGCGGCTGGTCGTCTCCCCCGCTGCACTGCCGAGCTCCAAGAGCGTTTTGCTCGATGGCTCCTTTCCGACCCGTGTCAGTTGCTTTCCTGAAAGCATCGGAGCCCGTCAACGGAGATCAGGGTCGAGAGCGGGGGAGCGTGCAGCGCATGATTTGGGGTAGCCACGTGTCTGGTGGCGGTTCGGGCCTGGACGGCCTGTTCCACGCGCTGCGTGATGCAGGGTTGGGCTTGGCCGCAATTGACCGCGCGCGTCGCCCAGTGGCCACCTGGTTTGGGTCGGCTCCCCCGATCTTGTGCCTGGATCAGGTGGCCCGCGATGGCGAGGGCCACGCGTTTTTTTGTGGCCATTCGTTCCACTCACGGCGAGTTCGCGCTGCTCTCTGACTGCCGTGTTACGGCCCAGCGCTGCCATGGCAAGCGTTACGTTTGCCGACCAGCCGATGTTAGGGCGCACCTTTGGCGCCCATTTTTTGTGCGAGGTGTGTGTGTGTGTGTGTGTGTGTGTGTGTGTATGTGTATATGTGTGTGTGTGTGTGGGTGTTGTGTGTGTGTGTGTATTGTGTGTGTTGTGTGTGTGTGTGTTGTGTGTGTAGCTCCCCGTCAAACAGGTGCTGACCCGTTCCACTCATTCGGCCGTGGTGGCAACGGGGCACTTTCCCATGGCCCCCCCCGCCCTGGGGTGTTCGACCGGACGTTCGGACCTCTCCCCCTTTCATCATCTCCTGCAGTGGCGTGCGATCCTCCTCTTCTTCGTGCTCATCCTGCTGCTCATCCGCCTGTGTGCAACGCCCCCCCTTTGTCTGATGGCGCTGTGCATGATTGGTCCGCTCCAGGAGCTCCAGATCCGCTGTGGCAGTCGTCCGCGGACATATAGCAAAAAAACAGCGCAATGGGAGGGGATCGGCAGGAGGGGAAGGACGTCAGACTATGGCGCGGGCGCGCCCAGCTCGCCTCCTCCCCTCTCGTCCCCATCCTCCCCACCCCTCCCCTCCCCTCCCCTCCCCTCCTCTCCTCTCCTCCCCTCCTCCCTCCCCTCCCCCCCCTCTCCTCTCCTCTCCCCTCCCCTCCTCTCCTCTCTCCTCTCCTCTCCTCTCCTCTCCTCTCCTCTCCTCTCCTCTCCTCTCCTCTCCTCTCCTCTCCTCTCCTCTCCTCTCCTCTCCTCTCCTCTCCTCGCGCCCCAGCGCGGGCCACTTTGCTGATCCGAGTTCTTCTTCCTCATCGATGTCGCCCCGCTCAGTTCCCCTCCCCCTCCTGCGTCACCCGCTCCTCCCGCTCCTGCTCCTGCTGCTGTTTCTTCTCGTCCTCTCCCTCCTCCTTCTTCACCCTTCTCATCTCCCTCCTTCTCATCCGTAGCTCCTCGAATTTTGGATTGCGCAAAACACGATGGGGTCCTTGGGGGGGTTCCTGGTCTGCTATGCCATGCGCCACCGGATGGGGAACAAGATCAACGCAATGGGAAATGACAGGTTGGAGGGGTAGGATGGCAGATGTTGCGCGAGCGCGCCTAGCTTGCCTCCTCCCTCTCTCCCTCCCCCCGTGCCCCTCCCCTGCTGCTTCTCCTTCACTCCCCCACCTCCCCTCCCCTCCACAATTACACAATATAAATACTACTCTCCTCTCGCCCCCGGTGGCGTCCGGGAAATATTCGGCCCCCCTCCGCGTACAAGTTTCTTACACGGGATCACAGGATTCCTGGGAGTTGGGTTTTCGCTTGGGTTTGTTTTGTTCATGCTGCTCTCGCTGAAGCGCTGGCCTCATTTTCGGGCTATCGCTCATTCCGAATCGTGCTCCCGCTGCAGCGCTGGCCTCATTTTCGCGCCTCCGCTCCTTCCGAAACGTGCTCCCGCTGCAGCGCCGGCGTCGTTATTTCCAGTGCCATGCCACGGCATGGTTTTCGGTCCTTCCAAATCTGGCCCCAAATCCGAGAGGAGGAGGAGGAGGAGGAGGAGGAGGAGGAGAAGGAGGAGGAGGAGGAGGAGGAGGGGACGGGGGGAGGAGGGATCCGAAAGCAAAACATCGGAAGTGATTACACATTCGGTATCGATTCGTTGATTTTGTTGGGCCGCAGAAGCCCCCCCACTTTGGGGCGTCGCCACGTCGTGCTGTGTCATGCTGCGCGTGGATCTTCAGCACCATGCTATGTCATGTGATGTTGTGCCAGGTTGCGGCATCCGACTGCAAACAGAGAGGAGATTTATGCCATGGTAAGGGATGGGGTGGAGGGGTAGGACGCCAGATATGACGCGAGCGCACCTGAATTGCCCCTCCCCCTCCCCGCTTCCCCCTGAGTCACAGCAGCTTTAGAACTTCCGCACGCCCTTCTGAAATATCCACCGTGCCCCGAGGAGCCGGACGTGCGGAGAGCAGGTCGAAATCGAGCCCCGTACGTGTCCGGGGGTGTGTTCAGGCCAGATTTTCGTGAGGAAGCCAGTCGGGTTGACGAACAGCTTCCCTGCCTGTCCCACATGCCATAGCCCCCCATCTGCCGCGGCCCCGAGACCCGTCCCACCACGATGAAGGAGGACGAGGAGGAGGAGGAACAAGAAGTGGGGTACATTCAAAGCTCTGTTCTCTCTTCTCTCGACTCCCTCTGTCTCTTGCTCCCTCTCTTTCTACCTCTCTTCTCTCTAGTTCTCCTTGAGCGCGTGCACCCACAGTCGAGTTTGGTTGTCAGATCCACCCCTTTAAATCAAGGGTACTCTTGAGTCCTGCGTATGGTGTCACAGGTCTGCTGCACTCCTGGGGCAAAGGTGCCCAGGTTTGGAGGCCATGTTGCCCTCGGGAGTCTTGTGCCCTCTCGCGTGCCCTCTCCAGCTTGAATTCGGGTTGGTTCGTTCGGAGCTTCCTATTCGCGGTGGCTGTGAATGTGTGTGCGGCTCGCTCCTGTTCGTCCTGCTTACCCCCCTTTAGTAAAACGTGGTTTAGTGAAAACGACCTGAGGCCCAAACCTGGCGGGCGCAAGCCTGGAAAATGACGGCCACGGCGCCCTCTCGAGAACCGAAAACGGACAATTCACTAATCGACGTCACTGATGGGGGTTTTGGGGCCGCCCGCGCGCCCCTCTCCCGCCGATGCTCGGCGGCCGGGCCTCCCTCCTGCCTCCTCCGCGGCCGCCCTCTTCTTGTCCCTTCGCCTCCGCGCCCCGCGCCGGGCGCGCCCCGCTCCGTCGCTGCCAGGTGATTAGTTGTTCTCTGTGTGTGTTAGTTCGTTTGTTTGAACGTGTGCCTGTCCCCTCGCAGTAAAACGACACGAAGATCGGGACAAAATCGGATCGGGATAACTCGAAATCTCTGAGAATCGGCGGGTTTGGAGGATGTATTGGGCGCCGCGGCCGCTCCAGAGCGTTCCGGAACGCTCTGAGAGCGCTCCGGAACGCTCTGGAGCGATTTATCCCGATCCTAGTTCTGTTTTACGCAGGAAGCTGGCGGCGGCCGCGGGCGCGGCGGCGGTGGCCGAGGGGGCCGCAGCGGCGGCCGCAGCAGCCCCGTCTGGGAGACGAACCGCGGCGTCGCGGCGGCCGCGGCGAAGGCGCAGGATGGCGGGAAAGTCGGCGAGCTTGCCCACCCCTGAGATCCTGGCGTTGCAGTTTTTTCGCAAGGGGCGTGCTCGCTCGGTATCGGCCCCTGGGGCCCTCAGGTCGATCCGGCCCGAAAAATTAGGCAGAGCGACGGGGTCTGGGGCTCTGGTCGCGATTTTCCGCGATGCCGTATTTTATTTCAACGTCAGGTCGCAGGGGTTGCGAGTTTACTCGGGGAAGTTTAGACCCGGGGCACATTTACACGAGGAGAGTCCACTGGCGGGGCCCTTCTTCACGGGCGCTTTTTTCGCCCACAACCCCCGAGTCGCCCCCGAACAGGTCGCTCGGTAAAAAGGGGAAAGTCGGGGATACACCCTCAGGGGGCGATTCGGACGCACCCCTGTCGAGGATGGACCCCCCCATCGTATACAGTCGGCCCTGATTAGTAGGTTGACCCTGCCAGCTCTAGGGTAACCTTGTGTCCTGTGCCTCGCGACACGTGCCTTCTTACACTCCTATGGCGATGTGGCCCTCGGAAGGGTCTTGTGTCCTCTCGCGTGTCCTCTCCGATCAAGTCCGACTGTATCCCAAAGTTTGGTCTAACATTTTCGGTCCAAACGAAGATCCCCCAAAGTCGGGGATCTGGGGTCGCCGTACCCCTCTTGACTTCTCCGCCCCCCCTCCTCCCCTCCCAGTCGCGCCGGGTTCCCTCAGTGGCAGCGGTTTCCTCGGGCGCCGTTCCAGCCCCTGGAGGGCTTGGCTTGTTCTGAACCTAGGAGGCCGAATATTGCCAAGTCCCAGGACCTCTCGGGCCAGGTTACTGCAGAGAAACTTCGCGGCCACCAGTCCTGGGCCACTGCCAACATTCAGGGCTGCGCATGGCGAGCCTGGAGGGGCAACCGTACGGCTCATCGTTTCACCAAGGTAGGAGCCTGAATGCACCCGATGTCTTAAGCCTTGGCCGATGAGCTCAAGGCGCAGGGCCTCCCCCCCATCAGCGGTCGGGCCTTCTTGTTGCCTGGGATCGGCGGCGCCCTGTCCAGGATGATCTTCGGGGGCGCGGATAGATTATGGCCAAGATGATCAACCCCCTTGCTCAGCTTGAACTAGTGCCAGGGCCTTAGGGCCATGGAACAGGTGGGCCAGATATTCGCCTGCGTTCCCATCCATCGAGCACGAATTCCTTCTACGGCTTCTTCGCCACTTTGGTTGGCCCGATTGGCTTCTGCGATTTGCCACGGCCCTTTATCAGGACAATTACTGCGACATCGCACTGCAGGGCTCGAGGTGCCAGGGCTTCGGGCTTACGCGAGGTGTCCGCCAGGGGTGCCCTTTATCGCCGCTCCTTTTCGCCGTCGCGTCCGACTTGCTCCTCTGCCGCCTTCGCCGGCTCGTCCCAGGGGCGCTGGAGAGGGCGTACGCGGACGACTTGGTCATCATCGTCGCCCGCGCCCTCGAGAAGTTGCCGACGTTGCACGGCATCTTCGCGGAGTATGCTCGGATTTCTGGATTGAAGCTCAATTTCCAGAAGACTGTGATCGTGCCCCTTTTCGGCTACGACGGGATGGACCTCCGGGCAGAAATCTCCAGGCGAGCGCCGGCATGGGGCGCAATGGCCATCCGGGACAAGGCTAAATACCTCGGCTTCGTCTTGGGCACGGGTGCTAAGGAGGACTCGTGGAAGGCCCCCTTGGACAAGATGCTGGATCGCGCGGCCACCTGGGGCAAGATCGGCCCAGGTCTTTATCACACTTGTGCGGCCTACCGCGTGTTCGTGGCCTCGGTGGTCATGTTTGTGGCGCAACTTCGGCCGTTACCTGCCCGCTTCGATGAGGTGGAGCGGAAGGTCTGCGCCAAGCTCTTTCCGGGCCCTCGTGCATGGACGATCCCAGATCTCATGACGCAGCTCCGCCGCATGGGATTTCCGTGCGAGTTGATGGACATACGCTGTGCGACGATTGCGGCTCAAGCTCGTGTATGCCACCTCGAGGCGTTGACGCAGGGCGGGCTGCAGGTGCAAGCGAGGGCCCGCCGACTCCGCCAGCTTCTCCAGAGCGATGGGCGTCAATTCTATTCTGAAGCTGTCGAGGCGTGGCTGGCGAGCAACACATTATTTGTCTTGGAAGCTTCGGCAGACCGCATCGACGGGGAGGAGTTTCGACGTGGCCTACGGCTCACGCACGAGTTGCCGACTGAGGACCGGCCCTCCCTCAAGGCAGGGTGGCAAGCCAGCCGATGCCAATTTTTGCTGGCAGCGCGTCCGCCGACCAAGGTAGAGGCATTTCTTCGGAGGCGGCTTGACCATTGGAGCATTGGCCTTGCGCCGGGCCGCCGGGTGCCGCGCTTCTCCGCGTACATTGCCCTTCTCGGTCAGAGTGCCCCGCCATGCGTCATGGCAGCGGCCTTGCGCACAGCTTGCAATGGCTGGCTCACAACGGCGCGTTTTCAGCAACGGTCTCATTGTGCGTTCGGCTGCGGGGGCGGTTTCGATTGCATTCGGCATTACGCACATTGTGGCCTGTACCATCGCTGGTGCGAGGAGGCGTGTGCCCTCGAGCCACCGCCTGCGCAGGCGCGCCTGGCAAGTTTCCTCGGTTTGCACGCGCCGATGGGGCTGGAGGCCACGCCCGTGCCGCGTACAAGCGACGAGATGCGCCTGTTGAGGGCTGTTTGTATCTATGCCCTTTACCGGGCACACCTCGCCGTGCGGCACAAAGCCGTATTTCAGTTCGACGCAGGGCATCTTTTCAAGGCCGCCGTGCGCGAGGCTTGCGCCCGAGAGCCTCTCAACGGGCTGCTCGCCAGGTCTCGGCGCAGGCGGCCAGGCGCCTAGGCGCATCGTGCCTCTCCGGCTTCTTCCTCCTCCCACTCCCCTCTGCATGTTGTTCGTTGCTTGGCCGCTGACATAACTATCGTTACCTCTTGGTCTCGCGTCGTGGCTATGTCCACTTCGCTTGGGAGCGTGGCCCTTCAGGCTCCCAGTTCAATATCTGTGGTTCTCCCTTCTCTTCCTCCTCCTCCTCCTCCTCGGTGTCGGTTCCGTGTTGCCTTTTTCTCCACGCTTGCACTGCCCTGGTCATGTGGGAGCCCAGACTGACAGGCAGTCGGGCGATGACCTCCGATGCAAAGAAATCTGCACTTCTGCCGGTTATCCCGGTCCCCGGACGCGCGCGACGGCTCGCCTATGGCAGGTTGGCTTGCGCGCTGCTCCTGGCCTTTGACAGGTTCTCTCGCCTCTTCTCCTCCTCCTCTTCCTCCTCCTCTTCCTCTTCCTCTTCCTCCCCCCTGAATGTGGTGACGTTTACTCGGCCGGCCCTGGCTCATCGATGGGAGCGGCTATGGCCCCCATGAGGGGAAGCGGATCACCGTACGCACACGACTGTTTAGGTCGTGCTTGTCGCCTTTTGGTTTTTTCTATCCGTGGAGGCGGCGGCAGTTCGAAGTTTCAGGTCTGCAGTTTTCTGCGTTGGCCGCCGCTCGCGTGCCGGTGCCGATAGCCAATGGCCGGGAATGAGGCCCCTGGAGGGCACGGTGGAAATCTGCAGAGATGACACGCCACGTCACGCACATGTCATATCATCGCGCTGGTGGAAAAAAAAAGATGTGGAATCGCAGGCATCTAAGACAAAACTCCATCTCGCGATGTGGCCGCCCACCCTACCTCTACTCCCACCCCACCCCCTCCTCCAATCCAATCCCTTCTGTCCTTCACTCCCATCCTCCCGACGATCGCCCACAAGTGCAGGAATTTGGACGTAAAGCGATCGAAAAATCGTCTGCAGTTGACGAGGGCCCCGATTTGAAGGGGAGTCTGACGCTGAGGGCATTGCTTGAGCCCCTTCTGACTTCCTTCAGGGCCAGCCCAAGCCAAGCCAAACCCATCCCGTCCTTCCCCCCCTTCGTGCGCAAGCAGTATGTCCGTATCCGCGGCCTCGCGGGCTGGGCCCCTGGGCCGCGACCCCGCGGATACCTTGCGTTTTCTGGCAGATCCCCTGCGCGGATCTCATTTGTGCGACCGCGTATCCGCGGGATCGCGCTCGAGAATGTAGAAGGGTACGGATGCGGATATCGACGTCGCTCAAACATTTTAGTACTATGTGCGATGCGAGTGTTCAGACATCATATAGAGCATATGCTCGGTGGGAGGCACTTTCTGGCCATGCCGCTCGGGTAACTGCATATCACTGTGTCGTTGTGCTACATGGCGTGGTCGGGCGTACGCTTCCGAGGAGGACGCACGGCACCAGCATGTCCTCCTGCGTCCCAGGATCTGTTCGCCGCTCGCGACCCCCTTCCCCACAGGACGGCGGCGCCGCCGCCGGGGACCCCGCCGCCCGCGCCAGCGAGGGCGCGGGCGCCGCCCCCGGCAGGGGCGCGGGCCGCGGCAGGGGCGGCCGGGGCGGCGGCGCCCGCGGGTAGCGTCTGGCGTAAAAACACGGGCCCGCCTCCCCCGAGGCAGAAGAGACTGTTACGTTGCATCGTCGGGGGACCTCGCCTGTCCCCCAAAATTGGTGTCTTTTTTTTCGTGCCCGACGCGGGCCCGATGCGGACTCGAAGCGGATCTGGCGCGGATTCGACGCGGGTTCTGCACGGATTCGACACGGATCCGACGATTCCGACATGGAGTCGACACGGATTCGACGCGGATAAGGCTGCGACGGGACAGACAAGGTCACCCGAGGATGCAACATAAAGACTGCACAAGCAGAACCTTCTGGAGCTCCGCGCGGAGTTTTGTGGATAGACTGGCGCGCTTCGCGCGCCAGGGGACAGGTCGGCGGCGAGCGAGTAGGAGGCCTGCCCAGAAGACGGCGGGACGTCTCAGAGGCGCTCTGGCCTTCTGAGAAACGTTCTTGCGTTGTCGGGGAAGGCTCAGAAAACTTCTCAGAAGGCCGGGGGACTTCCGAGTCTTCTGAGAAGGCCCGCCCCTTTTCACTGCCCCCCCTCGCTCGCCGCCGACAGGGGTCCAGCGTAGATCCAAGAGAACCGCGCGGACCCCCTAAAGTGTATGTCTGCGCCGCTTTTCGTTCCTCTGCCTCCGCCCGCCGCCGTCGGGGATCGGAGGCCGAGGCTCTTCGGGCCCGCCCCTCCCCGCTCCTCTCCTGTGCTTCGGCAGCAAAGCATGGGAGCCCTGTGTACACCTTAGGCGATGCTTAAGAAAACTTAAGTTTTCGGCCAGGATCCCGATTATTCTTAATGTTTCAATGTAAGCCCTAAGATTTGAGAGAGCGTGATCCACCGCCGCTTTACTGTGGAAAATTGCAAACTTTTTCCTCCGGAACCCGGGGGTCGCCCCCCCCCCCCCCTCCGAAAATCCCCCCCCCCCCTGCTGGAACCCCTCCCCCCCCCCCCCCCCCCCTCCCCCGGCAAAACCCCCCCCTCCCCTAACCCTCCCCCCCCCCCCCCCCCCCTCCCGCTCGAAAACCGGGGGGGTCACTACCGGTTCGAACCCCTCCCCCCCCCCCCCCCCCCTCCGGATCCGGAAAACCGGGGGGGGTCACTACGGGTTCGAACCCCCCCCCCCCCCCCCCCCCCCCCCCCCCCCCTACTCACCGCCAGCAAACGACTCCCGGTCCCCACCACCGTCCGCATCACATCCCCCACTGGTGTTCCCAGCGCCACTGTCCTCACCACCGCTGTCCCCGCTGGTTCCACCACCGCCCCTACTAGTACCCACCAGTGGCCCCACCACTGTCGCACTGTTCCCGCTGTCCCCAGAACTGTTCCCACCACGGTTCCACTCTCCCCACTGTCTCCACGGCCCCAACCACTGCCCGACTATCCCCACTGTCCCCACTGTCCCACTGACTCCTCCGCTGTCCCACTGAGCTGTCCCACTGTTCCCACCACTGTCCCCACTGTCCCCACCACTGTCCCCACTGTACCTCTGTCCCATTGTCCCACCGCCGTCCTCGCCACCGCCTTCACCACTGTCCCCACCACCATTGTACCCTCCACTGTCCCACTGTTTCCACCTCATTCCCATTGTCCCCACACCACTGTCCCCACCACCACCGTCACCACCACTGTCCACTGTCCCCCCCTGTTCCCACCATTGTCCCCACCACTGTCCCCACCACTACCGTCCCCACCACTGTCCCACTGTCCCACTGTCCCACCCCCCCCGGTCCTGTTCCGCACCCAGTCGAGGTTTTCGAGGTAGTGAACCAGGCGAACTCCTTTTCATGATGAGCAGTTTCAGCAGGGGTAGAACATTCTAAGATTTCAATAGAAATTCTGGGTCTTTATTCAAATTCTGAGACTCTGAGTTTCTTAACCCATGATTTCTTAAGCATTTCGCAGGGTGTACCCTCGGAATCCGTCTTTGGCGTCGGCTAGCGTCTATTAGCGTCTGCGAGTCGATAAGATAGCGCCGACTTAGCGTCGGCTAGCGTCGATTAGCGTCGAGATAGCGTCGATGAGCGTCGAGTCAGCGTCGCTCAGCGTCGATTCGCAAGATCCCTCGAGAGGGCCAGAGGGTACGGGAGGCTCCCAAGAGTTGCCACCGAACTGTGCCTCCCTCCCCTCAGGAGAGGAAAAAACACAGACACAATTAATCCTTGATTCCTCAGAAAACATGGGAAAATATGGGAAGTGGGGGGGAAGACAGAAACCCTGAAAATATGGGAAAATATGGGGAATATCTTTATTTATGTTTATTTATTTGTGTGTCCTGGGGCCCCTCCCTCCCCTCCCCTCCGCGGCGTCAGGTCGCCATGCCACCTTGCGTAAGTCTCGCGCTTCTGTTCGTCGCTCCGGTCGGGGCCGAGCCCAAGCTCGCAGGCCGCTGCTTCGGGATGTAGCCCCTGGACGGCGAGGCCCGGCATCGGCGCTGGCATGGCTCCGCGGTCGAAGCCCGGCCTATCACCCGGCACAGTCCTGCGCAGTGCAGCGCTTTCCTGCGCCATCCAGCTCGGTCAGGCTTCCCAGTCCGGCTTCGTTCGGACGGGGCCGGGACGAGGATAAGTCCTCTCCAGGGCGTTCCAGCATGCTCTCAGGGCGTTCTGGAACGCTCGGAGAAGGCCGCGGCGCCCGATGCATTCTCCAGAGCCGCCGGTTCCTGGAGATTCTCGATGTATGCTCACCCGAATGCATCCTCGTCCTGGCTTCGTCTTAGAGAAGGGGGGGTCTTTTCAGAAGGCTCGGACGTCCCCCAGCCTTCTGAGAAGTTTTCTGAGCCTTCCCCGAAGAAGCAGGAAGATTTCTCAGAAGGCCAGAGCGCTTTCGAGAAGCCCCGCCGTCTTCTGAGGAGGCCTTTTCCTTCCCACTTCCCCCCCTGGCTCGCTGCCGATTAGTGGCCCCCTGATCGGGCTCAGCAGCCTCCACTCGTTCCGACGAGGACCTCTCGGGAGTTGCTCCCCAAGCTCGGGCCGGGCGAAAGGGGGGGATTGGGAAAGGGGGGGGTTACGAAATTTGCTGCATGCAGCTGGTTTCGGCCCCACCGAGGGGCCCATTCCTCGATACATGGCCGCCTCCGGCGCCGGGAGGCGCCGGGAGAATCAGCTACGTGAGCTGATTCTCAACCCCGCCTTTCGCTATCCCCCCCCTTTCGCCCGACCCGATTCACTCAGTCTGACGAGGACCTCTGAGGAGTTGCTTCCCAAGCTGCTGTCGTGCCGCCGCGCGCCCATAGGCAAGCCGCGCGCCAGAGGCCACCTCCGCACCAGGCCGTGCGACCCCCCCGTAGCAGAGCTCCAGTCGACCAAGAAACAAGCGATACCACTTGGAGGTCGCTTGGGGGGCAGCGTTGTTTCCAAGGCCAGATCCCAAGACGCTCAGCGAGCACGCCTGATCCGTCAATAACAATCTTTACGACACCAATTCACGACAAGTTCGGACTTTTAGGTCTTCTCTTACCGACGACTGGGCTGCTTAGGTGTGCTTTGACCCTACGAGCATTGCCTCCTCCTCCGTCGCCCCAGAAACACAGATCGCCTTCGCTGCCCCTCAGCGAGCTGAAAGACACCACCCCTCCTACGGCCCCACATGTTGCGCTGCGACCCATCGAGCGCCTTAGCGTATACCATGCAACACCCACGCCATATTTTTTGGTGTACGCTGAGCCTCCTGGGGCCGCAGGTGGGGTGGTGCCGTATGTCTTCTGGTCCATCCATGGTGGCGCAGCCGGCGGATTATCGTGGCGCCCACGCTGCCTCCGGCGTCCCCCCTCCCCTCTGCGGCTGCGGCGCCTCTGTCTGGGCTTGCGATGCGAGGCGGTGGAGAGGCGCGCCACGGGTTCGCCTGGGCAGTGTGCCGTCCGTACAGAAGAGCGCTCCGCGGAAGGTTCGGCCGTGATGTACAGTCGGACCGAGGCATAAGATCGAGGTCGGTTCGGGAGGGCTCCTTCATGTTCTTTGTGTTTGTTGGAGGTTCTTGTGCATCTTAGGGGAGGGTACCCTCGAATGCTCTTTATGTTGCCCGGTGGAGGGTCTCGTGTACTTGAAGGATGTTCTTCTGTCCTAGGTCCGACTACAGGTGTTTGATCACGATGCTGGCGATGATGCCCACGACGGTGGGTCACGCTCATGACTTTCTCTCCACTGCCCCAGGCCTGGCCCATCCTGCCTTGGTCAGGGAGGCGTTCACACCGCTGCTGGGCCCAGGATTGACCCAGCCTGGGGCAGTGGATCTCTACAGACCTCGTTGCCCCAGCCTGAGTGGGCGGGGGGGAGGAGCAGGGGGGGGGGGAGGAGGAGGAGGAGGAGGAGGAGGAGGAGGAGGAGGAGGAGGAGGAGGAGGAGGAGGAGGAGGAGGAGGAGGAGGCGGAGGCGGAGGCGCAGGCGGAGGCGCAGGCGGAGAGGCGGACAGGCGGACAGGCGGACAGGCGGACAGGCGGAGCGAGCGATATCCCGAGCGCCCTCGTTCGCCGCGCCGCCGCGCCCGCCAGGGAAGACTCCGACGCGGACGGCGATGCTCAGGAGTCCAGCAGCGACTCCGACGAGGGCCTCGACCGGCTCGCCCGACTGGAGGCGGGGCCCCGCCTCCTCCAGAGGGTGCATCTCGATCCTTCTGATCTGATGCGGTTCGATTCCGATGGCATTCGATTCGATTTCGATGGCTTTCGATTCCGATTCGATTCGGCTTCGGATTCCGAGGTTGGTTCCGATGTAACCATCAGCGGAGCCTTTACCAGCCTGCTGGCTTCTGCCGATACGACTTCTTCCGACTTGGCTGCCGCTTTGTGCCGGCCTGGTTCCTTTCGATCGCCGACCCGTCTCATCGCTTCGATTCTAGACTCTCGTGCCTTTTCTCGCTGCGAAGGAACACCACGACGGAAGTCCTTTGGTCATTCTCGGCCTCGGGGATCTCTCACCGGGCTCCGATGGCGTCAAAGACTGCTCTGGATGAAACGCTGGTCCAGGGGCAAGGGGTCTATGGCCCTCTGGGGGTCCACATAGTGAGAGCATCACGACGTCGGAGCTCTGCGTTGCGGGACTGCAGGAGGCCTCTGTGGGGTCGTGCCCTCGCCCCCCCCGCGTTCGCCCCCGCGGCCGTTCTCGCCCTCGTTGTGGGGCAGGGAGGGAGGCGTGGGGACGAAGGCCGCAGGGGGGGCGCCGGAAGTCAGGAGGGAAAAAAACACACAGACACGATTAATCGTCGACCCCCAGGAAAATATAGGAAAATATGGGAAGTGGGGGGAAGACAAAAACCAAGAACATATAGGAAAATATTGGGAATCCTGTCATTTGTGTGTGTATTTATTTGTGTGTCCCGAGGCCCCTCCAGGAAAGACGAGCAGGTGTAGGAGGGCGGGCCGGGAGGCGGGAAGGGAGGCGGGGGATGATGGGCAAGGGCGAGAGCTCTGCAGGGCCGCGTGCTCGGATGGCCCCGAGTGGCACGGCGGGCTCAGCTAACGGCACTGCTGCGCACGCGGGTGCGCCCCGGAGCCCCGTCCCAGCCCTCTCCCCGCGCCTCTCCCGCCATAGCATGCCCCTCCCTCCCCTTTTCCAACTCCCTCGGTGGGAGTGCTGCTCTCCTCCCTCCCCGCATCCTGTCCGAGGATGGCTACGTTTCTTCCGCAAATGGTTGTCATAAGTTCTCTAGAGTGTGAGGTTCTGAACATGTGGTTTTAACAGTTTGGTTTGTTTTCCATCAGAGCGTTTCGGTGTTTCAGAGGGGCGTTCCTGCTGCAGCGTTGGCCTCGTTTTAGGATCGACGCTTTGCTCCCGTCCTTCGCTATGGAGCTCTCAACCCAGCGCGGGCCTCAATTCTGGACCTCAGTCCCTCCTCATCGTTGTCGCCCGCTTCTTGCCCCTCCTCCGCATTTCCCTGGTCGTCCTGCTCCTCCCGCTCTCCGTCGTCGTTTTAGCTCAAGCCGTTCTGGCTCAAGCCGTTCTGGCTCAGGCATGTCTGTCTGCGCTTGCAACACTCAGGAGGGGACCCACACACACACACACACAATTCACCGTCGAATCCCACGAACAAATGTGGAGCATATGGGGACGGGGGGGGGGGGAAAATCGACGCCCCAGAAGACATGGGAAATTTTGGGGAGCCCCATGACTTGTGTTTATGTATTCGTGTGTGTCCCGGGGCTCCTTGGAACACACCGTGCCCTCAGAACGGCAGCGTGCTGCCGCGGGGGGGTCCCTCGCTCGAGGCGTCCTCGCAGAAGGGCGCGCGGGGAGGTCGGGCTCCCCTCGCCCTCCTGCTCCGCGCTCGCCTGCTCCCTGCCCTCGTGGCCCTCACCCTCCTGCGCCTCCCCCTCGCGGGCCTCGCCCTCCCGATCCTCACCCTCATTCTCTCCTCTCGATCCTTCTCCTCTCTCGCCCAGCAGCGCGCGCCCCCTTCTTCTGTGTGCAGGATCTCCCGATCAATCGCGAGGCGGCCGGCAAGTAGTCTTCTTGCTCGTCCGCCACCGCCTCCTCTTCCAATGTGCACAGCTCCCCTTTTTGGATTGCGCATTTGGGGTCCTTTTCGCGTCCCAGGTCCGCTAGGAAACTCGTCGTCGGATGGGGGCGACGGATGGGTGAAAAGGGATGGGTTGGATACGTAGGGTGCCATCGCGCCGAACCTGCCTTTTTTCCACCCCTCCCCCTCCTCCCCTTGAGCCCCCCCCCCCTGGCCCTGCTCCCCCCCCCGTCCTCCCCCCCTCTGCCCGTGTCCCCTCCGCCCCTCCCGCTCCCGCGTGCGCGCCCCCTGCTCCACTCCCCTCTGTCCGCCTCCGCTCCCCCCCTTCACGAAGACCTTGGAGTATGGTTTTGTGGGGCTTGCGGATTTGTCGGTCAGGCCCAGCTCAGGGGCTTAGGCAATCCCTGTTAGCCCCACTCAATCACCAAGGCCAGGCGCGAGTACAGTCGGGGCCCCGAAGAAGGAACCCTTTTCGTTGGGGAGGGGCTCCGCGTTCCTTAAATGTTTCGCAGCTTGCCTCAGGTTTTCATTCTGTTTTCGATCGGACATCGAAGTTTAACTTATGGAAAACAGGGGCCTCGTTCCTTATCTTGGGTTCCTCAGGTCAACGCCCCGACTGTGTCTTGATAGGATCGATCGCGACCTGATTCCCAAGTGCTGAGCTTAGCCTGGCTATCACGATGTGATGGCGGAAATCCTGGAGATCCTCTCCGCCTCCCCCCTTCTCCGGCCCCCTCGCCTCTCCTGCCTGGGCCCTCCCTCGGGGCGGCCGAGGCCTCCCCGAGAACCTCTGAGCGAGCGATCCGTGGTTCGCCCCCCCCTTCCCCCCCCTCCCATTTCCCCCTCCCCCTCTCCGCCCCTCTCCCCCCCTCCCCCCCTCCCATTTCCCTCTCCCCCCCTCCCCCCCCATTCCCCCCCAGACGCGCCCGCTCCCCCCCCCCTCGCCGAGAGGTGGACCTCGCGGTGGACCACCAGCTGCGCAGGGCCCGCCTGGAGGACAAGTGCCGCACCAAGGCGCTCACTTTTTTTGGCCTCCCGGCAACAGGCCACACGAGCTCTTTTGACGACGGACCCTGCCCGCGTGACGGCGGCGCCCGTGTGAGGTGTCTCCCAAGCTCGATGCTGGGGGCGGCGGGGAATCTGGCTGAAGGCCTCCCCGTCATACCCGGCGCGGACGAGGGCCTCTCACACGCAGCAGGCGAAGGTCAAAATGTCGGTTTGGATAAACTCAGCCTCTGGAGGCTGAGTTTTTATGTATGCCCCCGCTTCGTCCCGTCGTAGAGTTCTGGCGTGAGCGGGGGCATGGCTGAAATGCCGATCGTCAACATTTGGCATTCTGGCTCAGGGCATGTCATTTTCTTGACGGCCCCGTCAGGCCAACTCGAGTCCCGAACCCGACTCTTACGTCTCCGCGACCCCACTTCTCCCTCCCCGCCCTCGTGTGCGCGGGTTTAAGTGTCGAGTCAGCGGAACCCTTGTTTTTTGGTCCTGGGTTGAAGGTCGCTGACTGCCCCTGGGAGAGTTCCTGCGTAAACGTAGACTGTGGTAGGGTTTCATGAGGCTCGCTGCTTTGAGGATCTTGAGGACACTGAGAAGGGGGAGAGCGAGCCCATCACGAGTCGTGAATCGAAAACCTCCCGATATGGCCTTTCCGGCGCCGTCGTTCCTCAGGGAAGGGATGAGGGGGAAGAGAATTGGAGATCGCGAGCCGATCACGAGGCGTGACCGAAAGTCTCCCAGCACTCAGGCTCCCTTCCGCCACGGCATGCGCTGGTTCCGCCGGCGCTGGTTTCGCCAGCGCTGGTTTCGCCTGGTTTCGCCGGCGGCTCGTTTCGCCAGCGCTGGTTTCGCCCCGCTGGTTTCGATGGCGGCTGGTTTCGCCGGCGGCTGGATTCGCCAGCGCTAGTTTCGCCGACGCGAGCCTCAAACGGGCGGGTCGGGTCGGGTCGGGCAGGCGGACCCTGACAAGCGGGTCGGGTCGGGCGGGCGGGACATTAAAGAGTGGGGCGCGCTCGACCGAGCACGAGCGAACCCTAACAGGCGGGTTGGGTCGGGCGGGCGGACCCTAGCGGGCGGGACGGGTCAGGCCGGGCGGGCGGACCCTAACGGTCGGGTCAGTGTGGGCCGCGCTCGACCGAGCACGCGCGAACCCTAACAGGCGGGTCGGGTCGGGCGGGCGGACCCTAACGGGCGGGTCGGGTCGGGTCGGGCGGCGGGGGCGGGTCGGGTCGGGCGGGCGGGACATTAAAGTGTGGGGCATTTTCGACCGAGCACGCGCGAACCCTAACGGGCGGGTCGAGTCTGGCGGGCGGACCCTGGCGGGCGGGTCGGTTCGGGTCGGGCGGGCGAACTCTGACGGGTCGGGCCGGGTCGGGCGGACGAACCCTAACGGGGGGTCGGGTCGGACGGGCGGAACATTAAAGTTTGGGGCGCGCTCGACCGAGCACGCGCGAACCCTAAGAGGCGGGTCGGGTCGGGCAGGCGGACCCTGATGGGTGGGTCGGGTCGGGTCGGGCGGACGGACCCTAACGGGCGGGTCGGGTCGGGCGGGCGGAACATTATAAAGTATGGGGCGCGCTCGACCGAGCATGCGCGAACCCTAACGGGCGGGTCGGGTCGGCCCGTCGGGCGGGCGGACCCAGACGGGTGGGTCGGGTCGGGCGGGCGGGACATTAATGAGTGGGGCGCGCTCGACCGAGCACGCGCGAACCCTAACGGTCGGGTCGGGTCGGGCGGGCTGACCCTAACAGTCGGGTCGGGTCGGGCGGGCGGACCCTGAAGGGCGGGTCGGGTCGGGCGGGCGGGACATTAAAGTGTGGGGCATTTTCGACCGAGCATGCGCGACTCCTAACGGGCGAGTCGGGTCGGGCGGGCGGACCCTAGCGGGCAGGACGGGTCAGTCAGTTTCGCCGACGGCAGTTTGTTTCGCTGACGGCAGCTGGTTTCGCCGACGGCAATTGGTTTCGCCGACGGAGCTGTTTTCGCCGGGCAGCGAAACCAGCCGGGCGAAACCCGCCGTCGCGAAACCAGCTGTCGCGTCCGCCACAGCTCAATAAACGTTCGTCGCAGCAGCCACTGTCGCACAAGGCGCAGCCGCCGCAGCGCCAGGTCCCGCGGGGGTTCCGATCGGACCAGCTTTCATTGAAGCGTCGACACCGCTTCCCTCCGAAGCCATTTTGAGCATGTGCTGATTATAAAGCAGTGGCGAAGCGTCCCGGCGTGCTTACAGCCCCACCAAACCAGGTTCTAATAACCTTTCTGTGGTTTTCACGAAATGTTAGAACATTTCTGGCGGAGTCCGTCTTGTTTTAACACATCGGGACTCTGTTCTAAGAACATTTTTTGTTATTATGACATTTTTGGGTTCTAAGAACATGTCGTGGTATGACTATAGGAATGCCAGGACGGTCGGTCCCTGCTCAAGATTACCAGCCCAGTCATGTGAGTCGTGCTTCCTGGAGCCGCCCCCGGCCGAATCCCTGGCTGCTTGGCAGCCAGTTCTCAAGGAACGAGTCATTGTGGATCTCTCCGCCGCGCCTGAGAAGAGTCCGTGGTGCTCTGCCAGGACAGGGCGTGGGCTGACTGGCAAACGTGGCGGATTGGTGCGCAAGCAGTGCAGTGCGAGCGCGCGCAGGCGCTCACTGGCGATGGAGTCCAGCTGTAGTTTCAGGAGGGAAAGGAACACAGACACAAGTAATCCTCCATTCCGCAGAAAATATGGGAAAATATGGGAAGTGTGGGGGGGAAAACAAGAACCAAGATAATACACGAAACTATGGGGAAGCCTGTTATTTGTGTATATATATATATATATGTGTGTATGTGTCTCAGGGCCCCTTCATGGTTGCAGAGTGGGGGAGGTGGAGGTGGAGCAGTGGGGTGTGCAGGGGAGTGGCGGAGCTGACGCGCGGGGGAAAGGGACGAGCCTTCGACGCAGCAGTGGCAGCGCGCTCCTGCTCGCACTCCGCCCGTCTTCTGGGCAGGTTCGGCGCGATTCGACAGGCGCGCCGTGGCGCCGGGCCTTGCTGAAGAAGAGGGGGGAGAGGGACGAGGACTCGGGCCCTTGGGAGTGGAGGGAGGCCGGAGAAAAGGGACTCTACAGAGTGGGGCACGCACATGAGGTCGGGCGAGGGGGGGGGGGAGAGGAGGGGAACGGGGAAGGAGGGCGGGGATCGGTTTTATGAGGGGGGGAGGAGCCTGGGGACGGATGAGGCGGGGGGGGGCGGGGGGGGATGGCAGGGGGGGGGGCGGGGGCAGGGAGGGGGAGCGCGGGGAGGAGGACTGGGCAGGGAGGGGGGGGGGGGGGGACGGGAGGGGAGGGGGGAGGCCCCGCGAAGAGGGCCGCGCCGCCCCGAGATGCAGCGGGTCCAGAGGAAGAAGAAGGAGACGCGGCGGCTCCCTCAGTCGCCGCCTGCGGCCGCGATCGCTCGTCCACCTTAATTCGGCGGAATCGGGCGAGGACAGCCCTCCTCCAGGATCCCCCAGAACACCCATCCTGGAGGATTTTTGTTCGTTGAACGAAGCCCACCCCCCCCTCCTCCAGGATCCAGCGCGTCTCTCTCCCCGCCAGGATCCCCAGCGCGTCTCTCTCTCCGCCAGGATCCCCCAAACACTTTTTTTTGGTCGGCGGGTCGAGAGCGGGCCTCTTCCGGTCAAGAGCTAGGCGGCGCGCGCGAAGCTCTGATTGGGGAGGCAGGGCGCGGGCGGGCGGGGCCTCAGGCGGCCAGAGGGTACGGAGTACAGGCGGGGTGCCGAAGAGCTTGCACAGGAAAAGGTACGCCTTGGACAGGAGCCGGGGGCGAAGTCCCGGAGGGAGAGCGCAGGATCCCCAAAACACCCATCCTGGAGGATTTTTGCTCGTTGAGCGCAGCCCCCCGTCCCCCCTCCAGGATCCAGCACGTCTCTCTCCCCGCCAGGATCCCCAGACCCCGCCCCGGAGGGTTCTTTCGAACACGCCCTCCCTCCAGAATTCAGCAAACCCATGCTGGAGGGGTCAGGAGGGCAGGGCTGGACCTAAACGGTGTTTTGGCGATTTCGTGGGCCGTTTTCGTTTCGACTTCGTTTTGCGGTAGAGGTGGATTGAAAACAAAACGAGGGAAAACGAGAACAAAGCGAAAACGAAAGAACACCGCTTAGGTTCAGCGCTGCAGGAGGGGTCGGGAGGGGTTCCGAGGATGGAGGGGGTCGGGGAGCGGGAACCCTTCTGAGGAGGGGTCGGGAGGGGTCAGGAGGGGCCAGGAGGGTTTCCCGGGGGGGGGGTCGGGGGGCGGGAACACTGAATCCTTCCAAGATCTGAAACAACTCCTCGACCTTTTTTTGAACGAAGCTCCCCTCCAGGATCCCAGAAGCCCATCCTGGATGGTTTGTTTTTTCCAACGACCCCCCCTCCAGGGTCTCAAAAAACCTCTCCTGGAGTAGTTTTTTGTTGAACGACCCCCCCCCCTCCAGGATTGAACAAACCTTCCTGGAAAAGGTCAGGAGGGGTCGGGACGGGTTCGGGTCGGGGAGGAAGGGTCAGGAGGGGTCAGGAGAGGACAGGTACGAACCCCTCCTCCAGGATCTAAACAACCTTTCCTGGAGTGGTTTTTGTTGAACGACCCCCCCTCCAGGATCCCAAAAACCTGTCCTGTAGATTTTGTTTTTGAACGAACCCCCCTCCAAGATCAACAAAAACGTTCTGGAGGAGTTTTTTGTTGAGGAACACCCCCCTCCAGGATTCAAAAATCCCTCCCTGGAGGTTTTGGTTGAACGACCCCCCCATCCAGGATGCAGAAACACCTTCCTGTATTGTTTTTTGTTGAACGAACCCTCCCTCCAGGAGCCCCAACAACCCTGCCTGGATGAGGTTTTTTGAGAGTGCAAAGAGCACTTTTGCCCAGGAGGTGTCAGGAGGGCTTCGCCTGACGGTTTCCCTCTCACGCTTGCAATCTCGGGACGGTGTTCCGCCGGAAGCCCTTCTAGAACTTTTTTGCTCCCCCCCCCCCCGAACGCCAGACCCCTCCCCCAGGGTCTAAAAACCGTTCCAGGAGGTCGGGTTCGCCCCGAACTCCCACAGCGGTCCCTCCCCCCCGTACAGTGCCGTTTTTAATACATGCTCCGCGTGCGGATCCCGTATTAAACATGCAGGGATTTAGTACTAAAAACAACGATGAGTTCATGTACAAATTTGTTCATGCATTAAAAACCCCACATTTCTAAAACTCCCATGTATTAAAAACTGCCCTGTGCGTCCCTCCCTCCCCCCCGTACGTCCCTACCTCCCCCCACCTCCGCCCCACGCGCGTGCCGTCCCCCCCCTCCGTGCTCGCGCGCCGTCGCGCGCGGCAGTGCCGCCCCGCGCGCGCCCCTCCTGCACGACCCGAAGCGCCTCTGCACCCCGGGCGCCCGCGGCGGGAGCCGCGCGGCTGGGCTTGCCGCGAGCTCCCCTGGCAGCCCCGTCCCCCGCCCAAGTTTCTCTCGTTTCGAGGTCGGAGGTCTCGAGGTTCATTAGCTCTCGTGATGGGCACAGATTGCACCACCACTACCATATGTAGGACGGGTGAGGATGAGGAGGTCCTCCTCCTCCTCCTCCTCTTCTTCCTCCTCCCTCTCCTCCACTTCCTCCTCCTCCTCCTTCTCCTCCTCCTCCTCCTGCTCCTCCTCCTCCTGCTCCTCCTCCTTCTCCTACTCCTCCTCCTCCCTCTCCCACATACAGTAGCGGTGGTGGAAAAGGGGCCCATTAGCGAGCTCCTCTGGCAGCCCCGTTCCCCGCCCAAGCTTCCCTCGTTTCGAGGTCGGAGGTCTCGAGGTTCATTAGCTCTCGTCGGTCTTCTGGCCATGGCGTGCTGTCCAGCAGCTGCGCCTCGCCGAGAGCGTTCTGGGAGTGCCCGGATCGCCCCGAACGGCCGCCAGAGAGCTCAGGTACGACCCGAAAACCTCGGGGGCAACGTCAGCAGACATGCCCGCGTCGTGACAAATCACGATGGGAGGTCTTTGGCCATTCCCGGCCTCCAGGGGCCCCCATCGGGCCCCAGGCTCCGTCAGACGTCGACTCGAGATACAAAACCGGTCCCAGGGTGTCTACGGTCAGGAACTCGCGGTTGGTCAGCTTGACGCTCCGCCAGACTTGGCTCACCGCGCATCGGCGCGGCACGCCATCCACGTCCCGGCCCCTCGGCGCGAAAGTCCCGCACCTGTCCCAGCCTTCGGGGGCGGAAAAGAGGGGGTGATGACTAGGGGGGGGTGGATATCATGGCGTGGGCCATGATATTTCCCCAGATTTCATGGCGCCCCTTCCCATTTCATTACGTCCCTGGCCCCCCCGCTGGGCCGCGCACATGCCGCCGGTCATGATTTTCCCCCCCCCCTCTTGGACACCCCCCTCTTGGCCGCTCCCGAAGCCTCCTGCCCCGCGGCGTGTAGTGACACGCTGCTCGCTCGCAGGGGCAGGGCACGGCGCGTCGCCCGCCGCCGCCGCCGCGACGCGTTGAGCACGCCCCGACCGTACAGACCACGACGTCGGCGATCCGGACCGTCCCCTGGCTGACCCCCCCCTCCCTCCTCCCTCCTCCTCCTCCTCCCTCCTCCCTCCTCCTCCTCCTCCTCCTCCTCCTCCTCCTCCTCCTCCTTCTCCTCCTCCCCCTCCTCCCTGCGGGTGCAGCCGCTCCCGCCGCGCTGCCGAGGCGCGAGCGCGTGATGGCTGCCTGGGCCGGGGAGATGGGCGCGTTCAACGAGGCGATCGACCGCCAGGCGGGTGGCCGCCCGCCGGGCCCCTCCGCGGGGGAGGAGAGGCTCGCTCCGGTGCCACTGCCGCCGGAGGTGCCGCCGGCACGCCTCCGCCCTCGCTTTCTCGCCCTCGACTTCCCCCTCCTCGTGCTTCTCCCCGTCCCTCCTCCTCCTCCTCCCTCCTCCTCCCTCCTCCCTCCGCCTCTCTGCTGGCTCGAGTTGCTTGGCACTCAGGCCGGGCCTCCTGGAGCCTTTTTTTCGCCACGAGCGTTCGAATCGAGCACGACCCGTCGTCGAAGCCTACGTTGCATCAACCGCCTCTCTGCTGCCCTCCACCACGTCTCTCAGTCCCCCTCCCTCAGTCTCTCCCTCTCTCTTGCCTTGTCTCTCCCCTCCTCAGGAATCGACCGTCCGTGGCGCCCTTGAGCATGTTGCAAGGCTGGCGCTGCAGGGTACATACCAATTCTGCAGATTTTTGATATCTACATATGCGTACATGTGTATCTATACAGACATACACACATATACACACATATACATATACATATATGTATATATATACACATGTTCTGTGTGTATAAGCACACGCATTTTATGTACATACATATATATACATATGTATGTATGTGCTATCTGTACGAATAGACCCCCCCCCCTCGGCATCCGGGCACGCTTTTTGCTACCCCCTCCCCAGGGCCTCTAAGGGACCTCAAGACGGCCCAAGAGGCTTCCAAGACGTCCCCTGGAGGCCCCCAAGATGTTCCAAGAGGGCCCCAGACGGCCAAAGATCGTTCCAAGACGCCCAAGATGGCCCCCAGACGAGACGGCCGAAGAGGCCCCAAAGAAGCCCCAAGAGCGGTCGAAGAGGACCCCAACAGGACTCAAAGAGGCAACCATTAATGAGTGTCTTTTGTTTTCTGTGCTGTTCATGTTCTTGCGCCATGGGCTGCCGATGCTCCAAGATGGCCCCAGAGGCCTCCCAAGACGGCCCCAAGACGGCCCTAGAGGCCCCTAAGAGGGCCCCAAGACGGTTCAAAGGGTACCCAAAACGGCCCAAGAGGCGCCCAATGAAGCTCAAGATGGCCCCAAGACGGCTCCAAGAGGGGCCCAAGAGGGGGAGAACGAACCGACAATTTGAGCCTTCGCCCCAGGAGCCCTCCTGGGGGCCCCAAGAGGCTCCCGAGAGAGCCCAAGAAGCCCCCAAGAGGCCCCCAAGAGGCCCCCAAGAGGCCCTCCAAAGGCCCCCAAGAGGCCCCAACACGGCCCCCGACAGGCACCGAAACGGGCCCCAAAAGACATCAGAATTGCTTCCAGGAGGCCCCCGGGAGACCTGCCACGAGATCCGAACGAACTGATGCTTCCATGAGGTGCCCCAGACGCCTCCAGCACAGCTTCAAGAGCGCTCCGGAGCCTCCCAGGACGGTTCCGAAACGACCTGGGATGGCCTGAAGACGGCCCCAGAGGCCGCCAAGATGGTCCAAGTTGGCCCGAAGATGGGGCCAAGGTCCCCAAGGCGCTTCCGCGACGTCCCAAAGCGGCTCCCAGAGGTCCAGAAGAGGTCTTGAGAGCCTAACATGTTTCAAACACCTATTTGAAGAACTCGCCTGCTCATTGCCTATGGGCTTCGGAGACCTGTGGATGGCCCCCACACCCGGAACGGCCCCACGAGGAGCCCCAGACGCGTCCCGACAGCGGCACGAGAAGTGGAATTTTGACAGGAGAACCCTATATCTTCGCCCCAAAAGCTCCCCAGGTGGCCCCAAGAGGCCCCCCCCCCTAAGACGCCCCAAGAGGCTCCCAAGAGACCGCCAAGAGGTCCCAAGGGGCCCCGAAGAGGCCCACAACAAACCCAAAAGAGGCCCGAAAAACACTCGAACAATAACCCGGGGACGTACCCAACCCTTCTCAGCGTGTGGCGAGTAGGCATCGGATCGCTCAATACAAAATTATCATTGAATGATCCGCAATGCCCTTGAACGCTTCGCCAAATAACGCTGGGCCAGAGTCAGATGTTTCACATATGCGGCGTCACTGTTAAGAGTCAGGTCGTTGGCAGGAGAGCGACCACGAGGGGGCGTGGAAACATGTGGAGGAGGGACGATTTGAGTCATCATTCTTCATTCTTCGCGTACCCCCACCAGCCCATTCAGAAGCCCTGCCCATGAGAACTGACGGGAAAAGGGACGAAGAGACACGAGCAACCAGGGTGAACCGAGAGATCTCTGGGATCAAGGGGGTGGCCTTAGAAGGCCTCTTCGGGCGATCCCTTGGGGCCGTGTGGGGGCGAGGGGAAGAGGAGGAGGAGGAGGAGGAGGAGGAGTCGGAGGAGGAGGAGGAGGAGGAGGAGGAGGAGGAGGAGGAGGAGGAGGAGGAGGAGGAGGAGAAGGAAGAGGAGGACGAGGAGGACGAGGAGGGCGAGGAGGACGAGGACTAGGATGAGGACGACGCGGACGAGAACTCATAGAACCATCTAGAGGTATTATTGCGGCTGCTGCTGCTGCTGGTGCTCTCTGGGAGTTTTTTGGGCCCTCTTGGAACCCTCTTGTTAACCCTGGAAGGCTTCTTAGGATCATTTTGGAGGCCATCGATTACAGGATGGGGGGGCTCCCAACTCAGCTCCCCCCTCAGGAGCCCGCAAACCGCTTCTTGGGGCTCTCTTGGAGCGCTCTTGGAGCGGTCTTGGGGCCGCTTGGAGAATTTTGGGAGATTCTATGAGCCAGCTAGTGCTATCTGAGCCATCTTGGAGGTCATCTTGGGCTCTCTGAGGCCGCTCGGGGGCCTCTTGGGTGCCTCTCGGGTGCCTCTTGGAGCCTTCTCGGGGCTTCTTGGGGCGCGCTCGGAGCCCTCTTGGCGGTCCTTGCTTCTAGAAGACGAATATCTGGGGCCAGTACCAAATACCGGTTTCACGTTCTAGCTTAAGCGTCCATGGACACATTGGGTGCCGTGAAATCTACAGACGCATTCGGGGTGGATGCGTCTACTGGCAACGCGGCCGTTGCGTTCGGCGCAGTACAAGGTCGGAGGACATGTAGATCCTACGGTATGTTCTTGTTCTAGAGCAGGTCCAGAGCAGGTCCCACATGGTACTCCAAGGCCTAAACAGTTCGCACCTCCTGGCCACCTCCACGTTTGGATTTCTAGCATCTGTTTTTTCCCTTGGCCCGATTTCGCCCCAGTCGTGCTCTCGCGGCAGCGGCGTTCCTTTCCAGGTGGAGGAAAGCATGTGTGGGGGGGGCTGCTCCTCATTATGTTCCTCCTCCTCGTCGTCTCCTCCCTTCGTCGCCGTGTCTTCGGCGCCACCCTTACATTTCAATACTATGGGTGCGTCGCCCCCAAGGGGCGACGCGCGCGTGCGCCGAGAGATCTGACAGCACATGCC